CCGCCCGGGAAACTTCAGCCGCTTGCCGGGGAGCACCCGGCCCCTGCCCCGAGGGGCCGCTTCGGTGAAGGGAAGTGGTCCCTTGCGCGCCGGCAGGATGGCGCGGACCATGAGACCCGACGACATCAACCCCCGGACGGGGCTGGTGGTGGCTCTGGTCAGCGTCTTCCTGGTGTTCGGCTTCATGTTCACCGTGTCCGGCATCAAGGGAGAGACCCTGGGGGACATCCCGCTGCTGGCCATCGGGCCGGCCATCTGCCTGCCGGGCATCGCCGCCATTGCCCTCACCAGGAAGACCGACGGCTGCACCAAATGGCCCAAGAACAAGTGTCCGTGCTGCAAGCAAGTCGCGGACCGGGACGTCATGGAGCTGCTGAGGACCCCCTCGGACCTGGAGTCTGGCAAGGGCAGCTGCGATGAGCTGGCCAAGAAAGCATACCAGAAGGACAGGAGAGTGCTGCGGGGCGAGGACTCTGTGTCCATCTGCACCACCACCACCACCACCATGGGAGAGTGCAAGAGCCTCATCAGAAAGGTGGAGCAGGAGGAGATGCTGAGATACCTGGAGACCTGTTACCCAGAGATGCCGGGGAATGTGTTCGTGGGAGATGGCTCCACATACAGTGCCTTGGAGAAGAAGAGCTCTTCTCCCACCAGGGACAGCATTGCTTGCCCAGGCACTGAAGACAACATTTTTGTTGCTCCTAAAGACAGTATCATTGTCTGCTCTTACAAGGAGAACAGCCCTTATGACAGATACTGTTGTTACATAAACCCTACTGGAGTCAACTCAGACCAGGAGACCATAGTGTGAAAGATGCATATTTTATATATATATGTATGTATACAAAAACTACAACTTCAACTTCTTCATAGGGGATAATATAGCTGACTGCACTGCATGGGACAATCCTGATACTATTACAATTTAACCTGGTATGTGACTGATACTCAAACCTTTTGTGCCTGAAATACTCTTTCTGTAAGTAAACAAGCATGTTTAAAGGTTAAAGAACTCAATTCTTCATTTTGGGAAAAAAAGAAATTACACCTTTATTTTATTTCCTCCTTTTCCTTCCCTTTTATTTTCCTGCTGCCTATTGCACCCAAGCCTGTAGACACACTGGCAGGAGGGCAGCAGTGGCTGTCAGCTGAGATCCAGAGCTGAATCAAAACTCTTGGAGCTGTCTGTAGGAAAGAATGTGGTGGTCTATGGCTGAATAGGACTTAGTAATAGTGTCACTTCATTTTTGGAGGGCTTGAGAGATGTCAGCATGCACTCCAATAGCTGGCTGATGTTAGGGAGTGTAGAAGTGATTTGTCTCTCTTCCTTCTTTTTCCTGGCAGGATTTTATTTTCCTCTGTTTCAAGGAATTGATGTGCTGACCTCTGGGCTCTTCTGAAAATCTCCTAGGAGCCAGATAGGCTTAGGGGACTTTTCAAAGGCTAATCCATCATCAATAGCATGCAAGGTACAGGTTTTAGCTTCATTCCCCACTGGTATCGAGTTCACTGGAATGTTTCTAATGCTTTTGGATTTTATAGGCATACTTGACAAGTAGATTACTACATGATCATGACACAGTCCTTGCAGGGACTCAGAGCAGATGTCAGTGGACTCAGGTCTTAAAAATACACTTCAGTACCTCTAAAGTCACTTAGGGAATAGACTTCTATGGATTGTGTTCAGAGCTGGACCTGACTCTTCCGAAAATGTCATTTTCATGTGCCTTTTCTAAAATGCCAGATGTTTCTCTATGGGTGATGAATGGTTACAGTCCACTCAAGGGTCTCAAAGACATGCCTTGCTGGGGGGGGGGGGGGGGAGGAGCG